AACATTCTTTTTGCTGTTCTGCTGGGCTTTTGACATATTTCAACAACTTCACCAGGTAAATGGGAGAAGAAGGATAGATGGACATAGGCTACATAAGAAAATTTAGGGAATCCAAAGAATTTTCTACGTTAAATAAAACTAAGAAAAAATAACTACACTATATCACAAGGCATTTGGTGAATTCATGATTCGTGTTGTCTACCTTGGGCAGAGTGGTTACAGATCTGCATAAACATTCATATATATGTATTTAAGATTGTTATCTTATAATCAGATATTAATTCTACCAGTAAACATGAATTCATGGATATTTTCACATCATTACTCCTCCAAAACCACTGCTGCTACAATGAGATAAAAAAAAACTATTTTACCTTGGAGGGGCTTTATCTTGATGGGGCAAGGAAGGGATGAAGTAGTTTTCAGGCAAGGTCTGTGAAGTGACAGTCTCTGTCTGTGAGTAAATCAGTCAAGCTTACAAGTTGAATTGGATAAATCTCATCCATAAAAACTCATAACAGGACTTGCAGAAGTTATGCATATTCCTGAGGAAAATGGGGCAAGAGCCTAGAGCATTGTAAATGACAAGACATATGTCAGTTCAGGACACTGAATTAAATCCAAAAAGCCTCTTCCTGAAGCAGTGGTTTATGGTCATTTTATTCTCAATGGAAAGAAAAAACAGTGTTTCTAAGAACCAATTAAATTTATCATAGGAGCAAAAGCTTTGAAAAACCAAATGGACCAGCTGAGAAAAATTAATCCTGAAACTAATTCAGGGAAAAACTATAGATTTTCTAGGGAATGACATTATGGAGGAAATTCATGCTTAAAATCAGGTGTATTTTTGAAGTTTGAATGTAAAAAAATAATAATTTTGATCATAGAGGAAAATGTTGAAAATCTAAAAATTTCAAAATTATGCAGATGGTTGCGTTTTGATTTTTCACTCCGAAGCACTAATTAATGAGTTGAGGTTAAAAAAAGCTTTTAAACTGATGAGTAAGTTAAAAAATGAACTGGAATGTATCACGATAGGGCAAAGTATTTTTAATTGACTTCCAGATTAAACTATTGATGTGTTTACTTGTTTATTTGCTTGTGGACATCACTGAAAAAATATTACAGTATTCACTTTCCTATTGGCTTCTGAATCAAAAAAGAAATCCATGTTTCACCTCCTGCTCCAATCCAGGCTTGGGTGGGTTTAAGGAGAGGGTAATGAAATGCCAGCCAATATCCTTGCTCCATCTGAAACCCCTTCTGCACGACTGGGTGTCGCAATTCAAGTTACTACTGGAATGTACTATGTAATTCTGGCAAGAAGTCAATAGGCTCAAACTCCTCAAATAACCAAAGCATGGTACTAAGAAATCAGTGGAGCAGGCAGCAGCCCAGACAGCCAGTCCATTAGCAGCTTAACCACAGCAGATGTAAAGTCACCAACAAAACTCCCTACGGAGTCTCCCAAAGAGCCAGATGCTACTGCTATAAAAAGATCTTCTAGAAACTTGGCATGTCTCCTGCCCATAATTTTTTTTAAAAAAGAAACATTCTCTAGATAGGAAGTTATTTTGTTGTTTTGGGTTTGTTTTTTGTTTTTGTTTTTGTTTTTTTTAATTTGGGGTTAGGGGTGAGGGAGAGGAGGAGGCAAAGGGAAGTGGGAGATATTGCTTATTTATTCCAGTTTGCTTATGAGTGAATCTTGTCCTTATGAAAACAAAATCCAGTGATAGCATGACCTGAGACACCGAAGGCAATAGGCACAATTCCAACCTTATCCCACACACAGCTTTGCTTATGCATCTTGGGCTGACCTTCAGATCCCTCTTCCAAGAGCCCTGCCAATGCACTTGGTGTGAAACACCAGCTGTTATTTTATGGTGTTCTGCTTTCACTGGGACACTGGTGAGCCCAGCTTGCCCACTATGCCACACTGGCTGGTGCACATCAGCTCAAGTGGTTGTGTTTGACCTGTTGGTCTTTGCCTCTCATGCTGCTCCAGCAAAGGACTTGCTCACTCCCTTGCAGCACTACCAGCCCTTCAAGTTTTCCTGAAATAGCTGTAAGCCTTGTGTGTCCCATTGCTCTATTAATGTGATGAGTGTGTTTCAACTGTGATTTTAGTAACAGCAACAACAAAGAATCATAAAATCATAGTGGTTGGAAAAGACCTTTAAGATCACCGAGTCCAACCATAAACCCAAGATTACCAATTCCCCTTATAAAACATGTCCCTCAGCACCTCGTCTACCCATCTTTTAAATATCAACAGGGAAGGTGACTCTACCATCTCCCTGGGAAGCCTGTTCCAATGCTTGGCTACCCTTTCAGAGAAGAAGTTTTTCCTCAGATCCAATCTAAACCTCCCCTAATTCAACTTGAGGCCGTTTCCTCTCATTCTATTGCTTGTTACCTCCTTTCAGGTAGTTGGAGAGAGCGAGAAGATCTCCCCTCAGCCTCCTTTCTCCAGGAAACTAAACTAAACTAAAAGTAACAAAATCAATATTAATGTTCAATCCTCATGGTACAGAAACCATCTGTGTTAATAAGATAACCTTTGAAGCCTAGGAGAGATAGACACCCCAACTCTACAGATAGCTGCACTTAGATGGGTGAATGCCACCCATATGCCCAGATGAAAGGCTCACTTGCATCTGTGGATGAGGACAGATGTTGTTTGGGGAATATGTGGTGAAATGTTCAGCAAGATTTAGATATAATACCTCAAGGTGAACACTTACTGGGGATCTGAAGAGTGGCAGGGTAGTGGCTTTGCATTTAGCAGTTAAGGAAAAAAGCGGGTGATGGCCTACTGGAGAGATTAGGCTTTTTCCTCCACTCAGGGTGCACCTGATGTGGTAACTAAATGTCTCTGAAAATAAGTCAGAGCAAACAAACATGCTTTGATTTTGAGGGAAATTTTGACAGGTCTGGCCCTAGACTGGGCCATGTAGGACTCATTTCATCATGCCCATAACCCAATTTAGAGATGCATTTTGGTGACAGAACAACAGAAGATGGAGAACAAAGAGGAGGTAGTCAGTACCTTCTAGCAAAGCGTTTCTGTACTGAGCCATCACACTGATCCTCAGTTGTATGAGTCCTAGAGCTCAAGGGGTCTTTAATCTAGTGATACCCTTGTAAGAGCAGAAGACAGGAGACATTCCCAAGTGATCCATTGCACCAGCAGGAAAGGGAGGAAGAACTATATTGTCCAACTACTGTACGTTTTTGATCCAAAACAATATTAGGCTACTGTTAGGGTCTAAACATATATTTACAAGATGGTGAAGATAAGATGCCTATTAAATGGTGTTTGCTCCAAGATAAACTATGCTCTAGGAAATCACAGGAGCCAGCGCTGAGAATGGAGGTGGACACCCACAAAAGGAGCCCTGAGGAGGAGATAGACCACTGGTGGTGCCTATCTTTGGTGTCTATCTCTGACACACTAAACTAGACCTAGTTGCTAATCTCATAGCCTTAGCAATAGCCTGTTCAACTCATGGCTCTATTCAGGACTGATGCTTCAGAAGTAGTTTCTTCAAAACAAGTGATTCATGGTGACAATTTTTTGTTGCCACTTACTTGTACCTTTGTGTACAGTCAACCCAAGCTGGATATAAGACATTCCTATCATTATTAGCCTCTTTCTATTCCTCCCTCTGCACTAGCTTTTTGAATTTCCTTTAGCACTTTATTGTTATTGCCATCAGCTTAATACTGCATTTAGCTCTCTAAGTGCTGGTTTTCTGTGATGGCTATTCAGTGGTACATTTTGTTACAGCTCATATATTGATGTAATTTAATAGTTTGTGTTCTCTCCCTCATAGCAATTCTTCTCTGTGGGGATGACGTATTCAGCCATCGCTATGCAGTTTGTATCCTGGTATTCCAATGTTCCACTGATTATCTTTCCTGCAGTAAGTTTCCAAGTTGTCTGTTTTAATAATACCTCTTGCTTCAATGGAGTGTTGCATATTCAGATTTTTTTGTTATTTCCTAACAAACTGTACCAACCTCTAGCTTCTCCTTTTTCCATTTCCAAAGGCTATATCATTGTTGTTTGGGTTTGGTTTTTTTTACTTTTAAAATTGTTGTTTCCCAGAAAATAAACCAACTTAATCCGTGTGCTTTTTCATGCTTCTCAACTTTCCTTTGCCTCTACTGAGGTTTTTCCCAACAGCATTTATTTCCCTTTTCCCATTCCTTCACACAGACACAGAAACAATAATGAAACCAAGGCACAAAGAATCCCATGTTTTACTGCGAAAAGCTACAGGACCAAGATATGTATATTAGAACAATTTCCAGTTTGCATTGGGAAAGACTTTTGACTTCTTTCATAGGTCAGACTGTTGGAATGGGAAACAGTCCTTGTGGAGAGGAGATGTATTTTAGCAAACATTGCGTATACTTCTGTTTTGTATTGGATTTATTTTTTTTGTTACATATTATATATTACCAGTGGTATCTTCCGAGGCTGAGAAACATGTGAACAACATTGTGTTTGTTTCTGGTTGCTGGGCATTCTACTTTTACTGTTTTTCTCTAAAGACTAGAAGTATTCTTTGCACACATGAGGTTTATACAACTGGTTCAGTTAATTTTCTCCCTTACTCTCTTACAGCTATGTTTTTTACAAATGCAATAAACACAAAGAGAAAGGTCCAGTCATTTTGGAAGGAAGAGGGGAGGGGAGGGAAGGATACAGCTAAATGATGAATACATTTTCTCATTTATTTAGTCATGACAAAAAATTACTTCTTTTTTTCTCTCCTCTCGCTTAACAATTTTGTATCGCTGTTAATATTTTGTATCAGAAAAAAATAACAATGCCCAGGTATTCATAGTTCAGATTCCAGTTTCTTCAGTTTCCTGAGTGTATTGAATCTCCACAGAGACCACCCTCTTCCCATGAAGAAACAAGACAAAACAAACAAAAAAACCCATTAATCCAAATAACTTTAGGGACAACACATTTTGTAGCTCTGTAATGGGAATCTGGGCTGAAAAATGAGAAGACATTCCATTATATCGAAATCCAAGGCCAGCATCTGGGGTTCTCAACATTTATCTTGTCCTAAAAATAAAGTTATTTTTAAGCATTAGAGGAAGAAACAAACAAGGCCACTAGGAATCAGCCTCAGTCATCCTCATGCATCTGTACTCAGCTTATTGGCAGCAAGGCCTGCAGCTGAGTGTCTCTGCACTATGAAGATGCCAACTGACATCAGAGAGCAATCACACAACATGACAAAATAACCTTAGTCAGTCCCAGCCCCGCAATCTTAGACTCAGCATGTAAATGATGGACAAAATACGGGAAACAGGCACAGGAGGCAATATAGTCATGTCAGACATGAAGCTAGGGTAAAGGCTCAGCTTTACAGAAAAAAAATCCAGCTCCTGAACTGCTAGACAGTTTCTCCTACTTCTGTTATCCCTCTATTATCTTTAGTCAGTCTCTCATCAGCAACATTTGAGCACAGGGATTTCTCTTAGTTAATATCTAGATTTCAAGCAGGATTCAGTTCCCGACCCATAAATATCTGATGCAATTTGAGAGCCCCAGGGCATTCTAAATATTCCCATACAGATGGCAAATATAACATAGGGTTCAAGGGAGATTTGACTTTCTCAGCTTTGGCAGCTGGATTCACTGCATTTATGTCCCTTCTTTGGATGAAGTGAATCACTCTGAATAAGGGGGCCTACAAGAAAGCTGGGGAAGGACTTTTCATAAGTTACTAACAAAACAAGGGGAAATGGGTTTAAGCTGAAAGAGGGAAGGTTTAGATCAGATATTAGGAAGAAGTTCTTCACTCTGAGGGTGGTGAGACACTGGAACAGGTTGCCCAAGGAAGTTGTGGATGCGCCCCCCCCGGAAGTGTTGAAGGCCAGGCTGGATGAGGCTTTGAGCAACCTGGTCTAGTGCAAGGTGTCCCTGCTGCTGGCAGGGGGGTTGGGGCTAGATGAGATTTAAGGTCCCTTTTAACCCAAACCATTTTATGATTCTATGATTTTATGATTCTATGAATGCTCAATCTAACTGGACCTCCTGTAGGCTGGGAAACAAAGATAATTCACTTTCATGCAAACATTTACCTGTAGGCATCTTAATCTGATGGAAACCTAGAAAGACTATGTCATCCAGTTAAATACTGATGGCATATTCTAGGATTTCACCTATAGTCAAGTGAGTTCAAGCCAGAGGGCTCAATTCACTTCCCCACACCTCAGCACTTAGAACTACTTGAGATGTCCTAGAGTACCTTGTTTGGCTGACAGCTGCCAGAAGGCACAAGGCTGTCATGGCCTCTGCATCCCACTTGTGAGGCAATGATTATATGACACACTTGGAACATCTCAAATAACACCAAGAACCTTCATGTGGGACATTGAATTGAGTCTCTGTGTACACACTATGGACTGTCCCTCCAGCTGGACTGCTCTACTTCTTGAGCTTATATGTTTGAAGTTAAATAGGGTGGTTTTGTAACACAAGATCTATGTTAGAGAAGTAGATATCTGAAGAACTCAGAAAACATCTCAAAGATGTTCTTTCCCAACATTTTGGGCTGTTTGATCAACTCCTATGAATGGATTTGCACCCAAGAGATAGGCCATGAGATAAGATTGACTCTACTTATCACACATTCAGCAGCATGGTAGAGGGAAAGTTGTGTGTATTGCCCACACAGGGGGTCCAAGTAATCCACTGCAGGTATCCCACAGCCCTGCTCCATACTACAGTGGTCATTGGACCACAAGTAGGATATAGTGCTTTCTACCTATTTGAAAAAGCTTAACGTCGCCTGCTGCCCATGTCTTTCCTGCTGAATAATGTAAGAAGTGAATGTGTAGCCAATCTGGGAGTGTTTTCTACAGCAATTTCTACTGTCAAGGAAAAATAGTTGGTTACAATACTGAAGAGCACTTGACCTGAGGGGGCTGAAAAATAGTAGGAAGAGTCAGTAATTGAAGATGTAATTGATTAGTCTGTGTTATAAATAATACATAGCACCTGAGGACAAGTCAGTGGAGAGGCTGTATATAAGAAAAGTCAATACAGAGTAGTCTCAACAACTATGTTCAGAAAATAAAAGGGAAAGGGAAAGGGAAAGGGAAAGGGAAAGGGAAAGGGAAAGGGAAAGACACAGTTCATTTCTTCTGTTGGGATACAACTCTAGCTTTCCTCCAGCATATGGGAATGGCCAAGAAACACGAGCCACTACTTTATTTTTGGAGTCAGATCCAGATTCCCACTGAGTTCAAATCCAGTGTTTTGGGAGTTGTTTGTTATGTGCTCTATGGCAAAGGGCCATCACCCTTTCCAGGATGAAGGCTGCATTTGTCTTTCCTTAAACGTACCAACAGTAACACAGCAGGGAGTGGAAGATGCCACCCCTGAATGACGCCCATTGTGGCTCACTGGCAGATCCTTTCCAAACATTTCCAAACCCATCATGAGCAAAGACACTTTTGCAGGTCCCTATGCTGCAGATCCCAGCCCTGTGCTAGCTTTACAGTTTACCACTGCCCACTTGTCTTTGGTGGGTGACATTGCTTTAGCTGACTAGAAAGACTTTTGGCATCAGAATGGGAATTTCCCATGGCAGTGGGTTTAGGATGGGATTAAGGATTAATGTTAATCCTAACAAGTAAGGATCACTATGGTAGTGGGCCAGTCCAGATCTTTGAAATCAAAGACTGGGAGCCAGTGTTAAAAAATTTAGTGTACATTCAGAGAAGATAAATGCCTTTAAGAAAGAAAACTGGACCATAATAAGAAAAAAAACAGTCAACTTTTTTAGACAGTTTACATTTTGTTCAATTATGTCTTGGAACAAAAGTCTCAAAGACCTGGATATGACTCCTACTTAATTCTATCCCTGGGGTGCCAGTGAACATAATGAAAGTCACCACACAGCAGACAAGTCTCAGTGGGTTGAGATAATGTCAGCTTCAAAAGCAAAACAAAGCCAGGCCTGGTTAGAATAGAGTAGAAAAATAAACCAAAACAGAAGGGAAAAAAACCCCAAACTAATCAAACAAAACCCAAAACAACCAGAACAAATCTGAAGGAAGCCACTGCTTTTCCCAGTTTATCAGATACTTTGCAGAATAAATTGAGTTGGTTAACTCTCAGGTCAGACCTTCCCCAGAAGCTGAACAGAGATAAATAATGGTGAATGCCAGTTGAAGATGGTGGGCATCTTTTCCAGGAATACAAAAATAAATGATGACCAGGAAATACTGGAAATGAAGTTCAGCTCATTTGCAATGGCAAGACAGAGATACCCTTAATGGTACTGTGGTTTGGAGAACACTACTGAATAAAGCCATACGATGTGCTGGACAAAGCTCATGCCTTTTCCCTGAAAACCAATCCATTTGCCAGGAGATGTTGGGAGCCAGATTTATGTA